ATATTGTGTCTAAAAGCTCACAATTGTTTATTGAAGGTAACCAATATCACTTTTTGCATTTGTGCTGACGTTTTTTTTCTGCTTGTTTTCTTTCATCCTTTCTTTAAACCTTTCATATTTCATTCTTTACTCTTGAACTATAGTAAAGAGCTGTGTAAGCAGAGCAGGCAGCTTATGTGGGGCAGCTCTGTCACACAGAGATTAGTGCAGGAAACCAGGTGTGGGATGAGTCCTGACTGGCGCTGAGATCCTACAGTCGGCTCGGATTTAACAAAGTATAGATCCCTCTGCAAAGGATCATGGGCACCCCGCACTGAAGAAAGATTGCTTTGTCTCGATTCATCTTGATTTTCGCTTTGAAAGGGAAATTGAGTCGAAAAATGTAGAACTAAATGATTTTTTTCAAGAATTCAAAGAAACCAACTGTCAGTACGTTAAACCGAACAAATATTCTCAAATGATGTGATCAGTGAAGCATGTTTTAATGTTAAAATTAATTATCATGTTATTTCATTACACTGAGTAGGCCCCCGGTTTGATGTGGTGTCTGTTTCAGGAGCGTGATGAAGTAATAAGTCCAGACATTTCAATGAGCACATCTCATCTCCCGCCCTACTGACTTTCACAGAAACATAACTGAATAGAAGTTTTGTTCTGAAACGTGTCTCCTCTGTGCTGTAATATAAGTGGCTCAGGTCCTCCACTCATTTGCCCTACGGCATAAATCACCCTCAAGGGTTGTGTTTCCATCCCTGAGCAATACACTACCCAGATATTGACTTTAGAGTTGAAGAAAAATTATATTTAAAATATCTCGAGCATGCTAAAATTGTCAGGGGGGTAAATTCACTGTATTTTTGATTATTTCAAAAATTCCTTATGCTGATGAAGGTGTAAACGTATTCACCTTTCAGAGATGGTTGGTCTGATTTTAGAAGCTAGGATTTACCGAGAGCATATAGGAGCATTTGTAAATTACAGAGGACATTGGAAATGATCCATGCAACCAAATTCTTCCATCTTTCAACATTTAATGCCCAAGGTCAAACCAGTCAGATATCAAGAAATTTGTGACTATGGTATGTTTTTTAAAAGCCAGTTGTAGTCTCAGGTTCCAACGTAGCCCATTGATTTGGTGTTCCTAAAAAAATACACAGTTGCAATGACAATTTGCTAAATACATCGCCAACTTGTGTTGTAGAAACTACATTTGGCAGAATACAGTAGTCAACATTTCCAGTGGATCAAATCCTTTCCCCAAAGATGCCTTAAAATTATTGAACAACACACAGTCTTATCACAGACACACATACACTTTTATTTGCTGTTATACTCCATATAAAATCCAAAAAGTACGCTTTTTTGCACAGGCCTATCTAAAAGGTTAATGGTGCCAACTGATGATCAACTGTAAAATTTACAAATTTTACCTCTTTTCAACAGGGAAAACCATAAACAATCAAAAATCCATGATTAAATAATTTCATAGTTTTGCAATCAAACAAAATGTGATTATAATGGTAGTCAGTGGGCCAAAAATGACCCCAACTGTAAATTAGGGAGAAAAGATGCAAATCTTATGCTGTGCAAAAACTAACAATGCATCAAAGGCAACGTTGTTACTAATCTTTCCTACTAATTAATAATTTTATTAATTAAAGTTATTAATCTATATATTACTGTGATTAAAGGTGAAAAAATCCACAACTACTTTTTATATTAAAAATAAGTCATTTTGTGTATACTTTTTTTTTTACTAAATCAGTGACATCATTTATGAATTTGGCAATTAAAGAGTTAAAATCATATTCTTTTCTGAACAATTTATTAGTTTTAATCAGCACAGAGGTTAATTAACAGATTTATTTCTTACTTATTTTCAAAGCATTTTCCCAAAGTATGTCTCAAAATATAGAATATAAATATAGAATATAAAATCATTCCCCTAGCTGAAATACAGAACATGTTATGGCCAAATTAAGACTCCAAATCACACCAGAGTGGACGAAAACATCCCCAACAGCACATAAGGTTAAAGAGGTGGTTACAATGACATGAATTAGGATCATACCAAATAACTAGCAAGCTACCATCGAGTGCAATGTAGATACGTTATTCCAAGCCATACATTGACGTTTTTAGCTTTTTAAGAGTAGTTTTTGAAGAGGGTGTATGTGTGTACGTGCTCTAGTACCATGGTAGAACCCTGGGGTGATGAAAGAGAAACCAAGTAATAATGCATTATATATGGCAAAGCAGCCCTTAGATGTCAGGCTCATTATTTACAGCAATAATCTGACTTTAGTTTGATTTCAAACTTTTTAATTTGCAGAAGATATCACTGCGCTCACTTCACTTATGGCAACTCCAACCAATATGGTAACCTCTGAGCAATACAAATCCCCTCCAGGGAGAGGTGCAGAAAATGTTCTGAAAAGGCCAGTCTGCTCTTTCTCTTCCATCGATCTCACTGCAGTGACGTGTGTAACTGTGTTTGTCTGAGTTTGCTCGTTTATGTTCAGCCCAGACACCGGCGTTTGACTGATGGCTTCATGGAGCGGAAGCACGGGGCTGTGATATGCTTGGCGTCTTTCTACGGCTCGGGTACAAATATCCGTCATTCACCCACTGCTGACACTTAAAGCTGTGCAGCCCACTTCAGCCCTGCTGAGATCAACATTTAACACGCTGCCCAGTGACACCATTCCAGTTGCAGAGATCTCGATAATTAGAATCCAACCTTGTCTGTGTGCAAAATCCTTGTTGCTTTTATGATAATCACTGCAGCTGGACAAAAGTCCACACTGTGTACATTAGAGATTTATTTATGACAAGTGATTGCGTCTGGTTTCTGTTCTCGGACATTTTGTTTGTTTAGTTTAGTTTGTTATGACAATGTTAGTTCCTGTTTTGAGTTTTGCTTTACGGTTATGCATTTGCTCATTGATTATGCTCACCTGTGTCTGGTTTAGTTACTCATTATGTTGTTTTAGTTTCGTTGGACGGTTATTGTTGTGATCACGTTGGTTTGTGTTTATTCTGTTATTTCTCCAGTGTTTCTGACAGAAATGACAAGAATTGTTTATTTATTTGTTTATGAACTTTTACCATATTGCATATAATGTAGTGAAAGAAACAATTTTATGATATCATAATTAAATGGAGAAGTAATGTAGTGCAGAAGTGCTAAGAGTGTGTTAATGTCACACAAACTCAAATGCTATTATGACTTGTGATTTAATGTTTTATAATATATTTCTTCCTTCTGTTGAACACAATACAATATATTCTGAAGAATGCTGTAAACTAGCATTCATTGACTTAAATAGTAGAAACATAAATACTGTGTAAGTAAGCATGGGATGATAATGACCGTGGGATGATAATGATGATAATGACCGATGATGATGGGATGACCGTGGTAAACCTTGAAAGTGGTTTGCAAAAGTCAATGTTTTAATACAGCTAAAATGTTCTTTTATATCGTTCCAAGGTAGATGTATGTGTCGTAAAGATATCAGTTTTTTTTAAACTAATAAAAAGAGCATAACTCAATAATTTATTTGAACTATTTAGCCTAACAGTTTTACTATTTCAAAACATTATAAATGTTTTTAAAACAAACACAAACGTGAAAACCATAGAGCTCTATTTTAACAATCTAGGTGCAAAGTCTGTAGCGCAGGCCATATCCTTATCCACCTTTGCTATTTAAGGGAGGAAAATACGTTCTGCGCCGCAGTGCATGGTGCAAGGTTGAGCTTAGTCTCTTAATAAGTTATGGGTGTGTTTTGAGAATGAACCAATCAGAGTCTCATCTTCCATTCCTTTTAAAAGCCAGTTGTGTCGTGCCATGGCGCGTTTGCTATTTACATGGCGGACTTTGTAAGTGAAAAAACTAAACGCTTCACTAGCGAAAAAAACAGTTAAACACCTGCAGCACAAGAATGAGAGAATGATATATATATATATATATATATATATATATATATATATATATATATATATATATATATATATATATATTTATATATAAACAAACAAATAAACTAAAACTAATTTTTACCCCCTCAGTTGCCGTATACACCACAATCGTTTTTTGTACCAGGCTGTAAAAATTTTTTATCAGCTGTAAAATTGGAAAATTTAGCATTGCAGTCAGTGAACACCTGTTCCTGGAGCCATACCCCAAAAGGGAGTCGTAGAATTGCAGTTTCAGTTACTTCCATATTAGCTTCACGGGGGAGAACGGTATATTGCCACTTGATGAAAACGTGGTATTTTTGTACAAGGTTATCATACCGTCAGAAACTTATACCGGCCCATGCCTATATGTAAGTCAATTGCTGCTGTTTTTTTGATTGAGCTATGCCTTTTAAATAACAGATTTAAGAAAAAATAAATAAATAAAAATTGTTAAATTACATGCTGAAAACTAAAATCAGTGTTTTAAAATGCTACAACAAATTTTGGCATCACAGCAGTGGAACATTTGACAATGACTGAACACTTCTATCCAAAGCAACTTGCATTAAAATGAAAAATATATATTTAACATAAATTTAACTTATTTTTACTGTTTCTTCTTACCCTCGGAATTAACCCATGACTAGCACCCAAACAAAATTTGTGCACGCAGAAATCCACAGATTTCTGCAAATTTTTAGACCCTCATTGAGTCAATGCATTTACTTTTGTAAATATGTGTAAATTGATATTTATTCAGTTATTTTATTAATTTCACTAAGGTTGCTGTGATATAAAAATAGTAATAATAAAATGTTCATAAGTTTTGTTTAATACAGTTTGTAAAGTAATATTTTCTGTCTTTTAGTAGATATATTATATGAGAGACTTGCTTTGTTTACCAAATGTTAAACATTAAATAAAAGTTGAAAATGTATTATTTTTTATTTCATATATTAGGTTTTTAGTTATAACCCCTAAAATCATTCCGCATAAATCTGCAGATTTTTATTTTTTTTTACAAAATTCTCCGCATATACTGTATAGGAAAAAATGTCTGCAGATTCTGTCTGGCCCTACCCATGAGCTAAACATTGCTGATGGAATGATCTTCTTTTTGAGATAATTAATCACAGCAATACTGAATTATTAGCATTTTTAAATATTACAGTAAGTGATTATTAAATATCCCTATTCCCTATTTTGTTCAATTTAGACTTGGTGTATCTATCAAATATATATCAAACTTCATATTGATCTTTTATTGCATTGCATTTTATATTTTTTATTTTTTTTCATGGATTAAATGAGATGCGATGATCAGTTGATGGATGGCCAATAATTTGACTGACTTTAAATAAATGATTTGCTGTGCAAGAGCAAGGCATCTGTGTAGGTTCAGTGCTTTCCGAATGGCTCCTCGGTATAATGCTTGTCTCTGTAGCTGCCGCGAAACAGGGGTACGTCTCAATCTCAAACTGCAGAGGGGAGATGAATAATGCATTTAGTACAACTGAAAGCTTTAGAAGTATCGAGCAGCACCATTCCTGTGGGTATGTGCTTCAGACACCTCATTGCATGCTGTTTCTTCTTCCCCTCCCCTATCGTCTATTAAATGTCCTCCTTCTCCATTCACTCAATCCTTTTTTCTTTCCCTCCTCATTTAGATTTTGGTAAACATAACATTAAAAAGTTATGACCACAACATTGTAGGACACAACGATTATTTGAAAGATTTATTTTGATCTTTTCTGTGGGAAAATAAGTGGTTTTGCTTGCCAAAATGCTGCAATGTTGTACGTGGTTGCCAGGATATTGCTTTGGGGTTACTAAGGTTGTACAATACAATGAAAAGCATGCACATTGCAGTTTTTGAGTTGTTCTGTGTGGTTCAGGCTCGATTCAAAACAGACACTTTCTATCATAGTCTGCTCTCCTAATACAGTATGGCTTGAGTTATTCACTATAAGTCTGTAAGGGATTGCTGGTTTTATAAAAGAAATAGCACATCTCCCAGAACAAGTCTCATGAAATATATACACATACAGTGATGTGCTGCAGTGTAATACTTGTTGTGGGTGGTTAAATTCTGTGATTATTCAAATCTTATTACTTATTACTAGTTATTCAACTATTCTGTAATTATTCAAACAACAAACAAGTTGTATTTACAAATTGTTTTTAGATCTTCAATTAAGGCTAAAAAAGGTGATCTTAAAATGATCAGTTCATATGAGTACTTAAAAGGCCAACCCTCGCTTAGCTCCTGGTATTACAGGAAAAATCGGATTTGTGAAAGTTTGTTTACATTTAAAGTCAGAATTATTAGATATTATTATTATATTATTATTATTATGACCCCCTGCTTACTTATTTTCCAATTTCTGTTTAACAGAGTTTTTTTCCAACACATTTCTAAACATAATAGTTTTAATAATTCATTTCTAATAACTGATTTATTTTATCTTTGTCATGATGACAGTAAATAATATTTTAAAAGATATTTTAATATTAATAATTCTGACTTCTGACTGTATGTAGTCACAAGTAGTGACTCAGACTATAGTAGTAATTTGTCTCTCTTTTTTTTTTTTTTGGTGTCATGTAAATGCTTAGTCTTACAAATCGCAAAATTTTTTTGTGTTTTTTTTGGGAAGACAGATTAAAAACCTACCGTTGATATAATGCAATTTTAATTTAACTGCCTCAAGAATGTGGGTTCAGGTTAATCAGACTTCAGCTGGCCTTGAAGTATTTTCTTTAAAAGATACTTTGTCTGCTCTTTGTGTTAAATCATTAAAATTTTTAACTATGCTTCATGTGTGACATATCCTCACACACACTTACTCTCTTTGCACATACCTTATTCATTCTTTCTGATTGCAGTCATTCTCATTTGACATTGTCCATACCCAATAAGTGGGCCCACGCTGCAGAAAAACACAGAATTTTAGCCTATTGTTTTACTTGTTTAAATGTGTGCAAATGTATTCAGTTTTTAAATTAATTTCAGTAACATTATTGACTAATATGAAAATGTTCTTATGATTTATTTATAATACAGTTTGTAAAGTATTTCAATTCATGTTTACGTATATGGCACTTTTACAATATAGAGTGTGTCAAAGCAGCTTAACATAGAAGTTCTAGTAAATTGAAATTGTCAGTCCAGCTTTCAGAGTTTTAGTTTAGATCAGTTCAGTGTGGTTTAAATTTTATTGCTAAAAAGTCCACACACTGAAGAGCAAATCCATCGATGCGCAGCTCCACATGTTTACAATACAGTTTGAAGTAATATTTTCTGTCTTTTAGTAGATTACTAAACAAGATATTATATGAGACTTGCTTTGTTTACCAAATAAGTTGATCTAATTTGTGTTGTAAACATTAATTAAAAAGTTAAAAAGGTTTTATTTTCATTAAAGATCTTATTTCATTTTAGCTACAATACTCCAAAAATCATTCTGCATAAATCTGCAGATTTTTTACTAAATTCTGTGTAGAAATACTAAAAAATATCTGCAGATTTGGTCTGTTCAGTGCTGGAAAGAGTACTAAAAATTATACTCAAGTAATAGTACCATTACGTGCCCAAAAATGTGGTGCAAGTATCTAAAAGTGTCTGTTGTAAGTACTACTCAAAGTATGAGTAAAAATTTGCCACTCACAAGTATTGAGTATATGCTGTAAAAAGCTTATGCGTTTACAAGTAATTTTTGTGTGTGTAAACGTAACATCCTGTAGTACATTTAGTTGATATATGAAGTCTTTTCGGTCATACAGTAAAAACTTGTCATCTTCTTATCATCACATGCAGTCTAAACAGTCTCTGGGTCATCGCTTGGGAAGATTTTTGACACTTGGACACTTTAATGCTTCCAAAAAGTTTGCTGCATTTAAAAATCACCCATGTCTTGAGGTTGTTCAGTATGTTGCGATTTAGTTTCTATGTGTGATTTGATTGGACAGAAATAACAGGACAGATTTTTCTAATTCTCATAGACAGGAAAAATACGTCAAAACAGTGGAGTAAAAATAAAGATACTACACTAAAAATGTACTCAAGAAAAAATAGTGATGACAAAACAGTAGAGTAAAAGTAAAGATACTGCACTAAAAATGTACTCAAGGAAGAGTAAGCGTACACATTTTAAAAACTTAGTAAATGACACTTTCTAAAGAAAAGCTACTCAGTTAGAGTCATTTGAGTTTTTGTAATTTGTTACTAAAACCACTACCAATAAGTAATTTCTTGTGTCTTAACCTGATAAAGCATTCTGCACCCTTGTTGTCATTCGGTTCGTTTATTTAGGTTCACCTTCAGCCATTTTTGTGCGGCACACTCTCTCAGTCCGCCAGCATCTGGCGGCACACAAACCGTTATCAGACCGACCGAGTGAGTCACTGGCACAGGCAGACTAATAATGACCTGCGGGACTGCTCTAAGAGAAGTGCGTCTCTTCTGTCACACTTTCATTCCACCTTTTTGTCTTCTGAATTGCTTGGATAGATTAGTGTTAGAACTGTTAATGAGCTTCTAAAAATGCCTTTACTAATGAGACATCGAGAAAAGTCAGGTTCACACAAACACAGGCAGTTAAACATACCTGAATTGTGTCTGTAAAGACTCACGCACTTGTAGTTCACTTGCAAGGACACCTACACACCCTGCACATACACCACTTCTGTTCTTTATACTTTTTTTTTTAATGCCAGTGGTATTATGGGAGGTGGGGGGGATGTATAAATGTGTGGTACGACTGTGTACATGAGCAGGAGGGATATCTAAAGGAGTGCAGATACAACACCAAAACACTCACAGCTGACTTTCCATGCCGCGCTCGTCTCTTGAATGGCAATGCGAGGCTGGACTGGACCGAGTGCTCCGCGAGGGACACGCACACTGTCCGAAACTGAGAAGCGAGTGCGAGGCAGGCAGATAAAAGTGTTCTCAGCGCCTGCTCGGTCCTTCAAATTTCCTGATGGATTACTATGAAAGAGGGGAGAAAAATAATCTGGCGATGAATGAGACGCGTAAAAAGAGAGTGAGAGACGGGACAAAAGGTGAGCGCAGTCCGTCGATCTTACCCATTCCATTTATCCTCTTTTTCTTCATCATCCCTTGCTAGTTCACGCTTTTGTACCCCCCACCCTTCTCTTTTTTTTTTGCACTTGCCTTTGTCCTTGTCCTCCTTGTCTGTCTGTCTGGCCGGCTGAATGCGGGTGTCATGGAGAGAGAGCAAAGGTCTCTGCACTGAATGGGCGGGAGCTGGATGAAGCCATTGTCAAAGCCACGGCTAGCTATTGTGTTCATGTCCAGCCCACTGCCCCCCAAAACTGGGCCTCTCTGTCTCTCTGAGCCCCAATACTGCAGATGGAGAGGGGTTGAGCGGTTGCGGCACGGAGGTACGGCAGCTGTTTGCTGCTCTGCTGCGCCTCGTCCTGCAAGTCCGGGTGCCGTCCAGCTCTGAGCACAGCTAACGAAGTCGTGCCACACTGTGAAAACCTTTTTCTTCTTCTGCTCAGTTCTTCCGCTCTTTCATCCTATTACTGTCCAACCAGTCAGTAGACGAATTTGGATCTTGCCTCTCTTCAGACGCCAAGCCAGACTGTCAGCTACTACACTGGCTGCATATTAATCTGGGGGTCGTGTGAGATCTTTATGCTTATTACAGACATTGTTTTAAAAAAAAATGTTTGAGAAATATGAACTAAATGTGTCTACACATAATTAAAGTAAGTATATGTACAAGGTAGAAAGTTTTAAACACTCAACCAAGATCAAGACAGCAGAACTTTTCAGACCAATTTATCAGGGAAGAGGTGAATACACACTTTGTGGTGTGATTGTATTGTAGTTATATTTTTAAACATAATGCCATTATAGATTATTTATTATAGATATTCAGTCCTATTATTCATGTTGATGCACACCTGTATGATTTACTGCTTTCTTTGAAACAGAAACAAGGTATTTTTAACCCTTTTTTGGCTGTTTTTGTACAGTGAAAGTCGATGTTGTCGAAAGTGATGAATATTACCGATATTTTTCAAAGTATATGTAGTTTTTTTTTACAAAATGAGAGAATGCAAATGGCAGAATTCTAATTTTTGGTTGATCTGCCCCTGTAAAATCAACAGGATATCAGTTCCATTTTGGCTGACATCCTTAAGTCCTCTTATTTTTCAAGCCCATCTCTCAGACCACCTACAATACTAAGACCAGAACTCTGATCAATTCCCAAAGGATAAAATCAAGCTCTAACATTTTCACTTGATATTGTCATTTTACAGATAAAGGACTTTATTTTCTCATTTGCACCAGGTTGAAGGTGGACAAAAAATGTGGCTGTGAGATCTCTTTATCTATAGGTAGATGTTATGGCAGTAGATGGAACTCTTTACATGTTATAAAAGAGTGGATAAAGGAGGTTAAATAGACTGGAGTTGCTAAATTCTGTCCATTAAAATGTGACTGTATGGATTTCTTCAGAGTTACCTGGAGCATTTTTATAGATGTTTTTCTTTACTCGTAGACTTGTGCAATCCAAGAGCTTGTAGTTGCAATGCAGTATTTGGCACTAAGAAGTTCAGCCATTCATATGTCACACTTCAGTTTTTTCTAACTAAAATTATCCCATCTTCTCACAAAATGAGTTCAAATCTAGAGATATGCGCATTATTCAGAGTGTCTACTTGGATTTCACGTGGTCATTGTGCAGTTTTTATCTTTGGCCAGGAGAGGGAGGAAACTGAACGTCTTTTCATCTTGGAAATCCACCAGTCTCTGGCTCTGAGGCATGCTAGTGAATTCAGTTCCAGATTGATTTCTTTTGTTGTATATATGATATGATGGTTCAGATATTATGAAGCAGGTTGTTTAGTCTTCATTGCATGTTTCTATCTGAATTCAAACATCACTTCAGTATTGATTGTAGCTTTTCATCTTAGTTAGTCTGTTTTTTTTTTTTTTAATAGAGAGATCCATTACGTTTCTGAAATACAGATGATGAAAGTAAAATATTTTGTTGCCACTGTTTTTTTATAAAAAAATCAACTTTATGTAATTGTATTGATAAAAATGAATGTATTTAATTATATAAACAGTTAACTTAATGATTATGATTAGTCAGCCAGTATCTGTGTGGAGCATCTTTTTAATCCAAAATTTGGCAAATGTGATCCGGAGGATTAATCATGTCTTATAATGGATATCTTGTTAAAAAGCTAGTATCGCTTTGGGCAGGATTCATTTTTGTTAGTTGGCTGGCTGCCTTTTAACCAGCACAAAAGACAGAACAGTTTCCTTTTATCTCATTAACCTGGCAGAATAATGCTAATGTAATAAAGATAAAAATCTAATCCGTTCCCAACAGTAAGCCTTTGAGCCTGGAAATGATCTGGATAGTTCGGAAGCCGCTGAGAAAAACACTTTTGATTCGTAATGATTCATATAAATTGTTTTGGAAATAATTTCCTTAATTTTGACTGCACATAAAATGGGTAAACAGTACCAACAGAACAAAAACACTTCTGAAAAATATATACTTCTCTTTTTTTAGATAAAAAAAACAGCAAACGTCCTACTATGAGATCTCCATGTTTAACGTGCACTCCTTTGTTGTCAGTAAATTTATCGAGCGTGAATTACACTCGACTCCCATGTTTAAAGTGCAGGATAAGATTACAGAAAACTAGGCTGTGATATACTGTACGTGCCGTCCCGGCTGGCCAAGCAGATGAGCGCCTATAGTGATTTAATAAGTGATGGGGTCCAGCATGGATATAACGGGGCAGGCGGCAGGTAGAAGCTCATAGAGAGTGGCCGGGACTTGATTTGTTTCCCTTCCTGTAAGCCCCTCTGACTCCCCCTTGCCATCCCCCTCTCTCAGAGCAGTGTAAACACACAGCTCTAGAGGAATGTTGGACTCTCTGACCTCACAGCAAACGCTCTTCTGCAGTTCATTCGGTTCAGCCTGGCCGCGCTGTGCTCCGAGAGGCTGCGCGCGCACACACACATACACACACATGCTGCCAGATTTCCTCCTGCTCTCTCTGTTGCCGCTGCAGCTATTGTGCACACTAGCTGCAGCGCTGCCTCTATGCATGCATCTTCATGCATTCAGCCATTTATGCCCACCACATTTGCCTTCAAGCATGGCGATGTCGCCTACGGGTACTGTTGGTTTGAATGAATTCCAATCACCCTTCCCCCCCGCTCCCTCGACCACGCCGTGCCATTGGGCATAGGGCAGGCAGCAAGTTCTAAGCGGCTTTCCGGACAGAGGCCCGCAGACAGGAGCTGATTGGCTAAAGATAGATCAAAGCAGACAGCATCTGTCAGTGTGTGTAAAGGCAGTGTAAAATGAATGTTTGACCTCCTCTCTCTTGCTCCAGATGCTTTTAGAGCAGCCTCTAGTGTGTCTGAGCTCTGATGAGATGTGTCAGGCTTCGGTCTGAGCCGTCCAGACATGCAGTTATGACCAAAATCTGAGGTTGTGCTCGTCTGCCCGCCTCTGTCCACTCGCAGCGCATGTTGAGTGATTCGATGCATTAGGGATGCATTAGCACACGCCCACTTTTACAGCAGTGTTAGTTACTGAAGTCTTTTTTCCACTTGGTTTTCCTGTAGGGGTTTTCAACTTTTGTTAAAGTGCTACAGGACATGAATTAAGCCAACAGTTGTAGCTACGAGGGGAGCAGTGTTGTGCTAGTTACTGAAAAATAGTAACTATTTACAGTTAATTTAATCAAAAAGCAACTCAATTACTTTATCAATTACTTACACCAAAAAGTTATGTATTACTGTAAAAGTAATTTTTGAGTTACTCTTCCGAAAAACGTTTTTAATGCTCCCATTAATGCCCATTAATGTCACTTCAGGGCTGCATAAAAAATATATGGTTGATCAACATCACAGTTGTAATTAATTTGCAACCTCACAACTAAAACACAAGACAGACTTTTAATAAGTGTTTTTTTAGTTTAAAATTTTTTAATAGTTACCAAACAACACAACAACAATAAAAAATACTAGACTTAAGCATGATAACACATAAACAATAATGGTAATAATATTTAAAACAAAATAAAATAGACGGTTTCAATTAAAGTGCAAAGAGGCAGTCAGTAGGGGTTGTGAGAATATTAAACACTACACTGCTGCTCTGAATCTGCTTTATATCGATCCAGGTGATCAAGAAGTAGTTGCCAAATATTGTAAAATTTATCAAGATTATCAATAACTCCATAACAGACTCTTTCCATGTGCAATATTTGAGTGAGATAAGTTAACCATGTCTTAAATTGAGGAATATAATCTGATTTACACAGTTATAGAATGACACTTTTAGCAATAATCATTCCACAATTTATGGAGTTTTGTAAGGACACATTATAATCCAGCAGAGAATGAGAGTAGCCAAATATAGCAATTTCGGGGGCAGTTGTAAAGGTAAAAGCATACATATCAGAAGACCATTTTAAATATGTCACACCAGAAATCATAAAGTTTTGGACACGTCCAAAAGAGATGGGTAAGGGAGCCTTCAGCAGACTTGCACCGATCCCGTGGGGGAAATGGTAGGAAAAATTCTGTGTAATTTAGATTTTGAGTAGTGCAGTCAATGCATTACTTTAAATTGAATTAATTGATGAGTGGAATTAATAGAACAAGATTGAATTCTACTGAGGCTTTCGACCCATGTATCAGTCTCAATCTGAAAGCCCAGTTCTACTTCCCAAGCATTCTTCAAATTAATTAGCTCAGTTGTTGGAAAAACACATATACAAAATCTGAAATCAAACGTTTAAAATCAGGTGAGCCCAATAGTGTAAACCTGTAAACCTTTCTAAAAAAAGTTATTTTCAAACACTAATTTATTTAAGTCAGACCAGCAGCACAAAAATGAAAATATCACAAAGTGATAAACCGGTTGAATAACATATTTAGAATTTAAAAAGTTGCTTAATGTAAATATATCAAATAAAATCATTCTTTAAATATGAAGCTAAAACTGAGCCCTTTATAAATTCCGTTTCACCCAATTATTTGCTAACTGAAACAAACTATTTTTTATGAATGGAGATGCCTAAATTATTCAGCATTTTTGATTGAATCATGTGAATGAAGCATAGTTTGATTTTTTGGAGAAACAGAAACAGTTTGGAATCTGGAACTGATTTGTTGATGATTTAGCTAAAAAGAAAATCTCTTAAAATCTGTTTAAACGTTGCAGGTAACACTTTACAATAAGGTTGAATTAGTTAATGTTGGCTAATGCATTTACTTACATGAACGAATTATGAACAGCACAAATATATATATATAAAATTACAATTATAATTAAGTTTATTTGATATTCACAATAATACAGACATAACAATACATCTTCAAAAGACACTGGGAGAGAAAAAAGGAAAAATAAATAAAAAAATACCTCAGCTTATAAAAGAGGACTACTCTAAATAAAATAGACCAGAAAAAGGGCTAAAAGCATTGCTATTTTTCATATAATAATACAGTTAAAATATTCGTTTTAGCATGATAGGACAAAGACTAGCTCCAAGTAATCCAAATATGGAGTCCAAAGTTTAAAATGATTTTCTGTTTTTGTGTGTGTGTGTGTGTGTGTGTGTGTGTGTGTGTGTGTGTGTGTGTGTGTGTGTGTGTGTGTGTGTGTGTGTGTGTGTGTGTGTGTGTGTGTGTGTGTGTGTGTGTGTGTGTGTAAAACATGAGTAAGATGTTCTTGTGCCAACCTTTAAGTGATGGAGATTTATCACTAATCC